GCTTAACGACTGAGCCACCCAGGTGCCCGAATTAATACGGTTTTATCTTGGGATAGTCCATGTCCTGCACTGCCTCAAAATCAAAATTGTTATTAATGACATTTACAGAATAGTGGTGCAAAAACCATCCCAGTGTCTCCGTTGCTTTGTTTTCATTTTTGGATCTTTGAATTTGTCCTTCTCTGGCCTCTGTTACTACCATATTTGGGTAGGAGTGCAAAATTTCCCAGAAGACCCAACCTGTGAGAGGGGTTTGCTGATGGACTGGCTGCCTGCGACCTTTCATTAGGCTGGAAGACGGACAAGAGAATCATGGCTAATGGGTGTGCCTCATGCACACAGACTTGTATATTTACCACCGATACATGTGGTGGGTGAGGCACATGGTTCATGTCAGCATCTGCCTCTGAAGACCTGCCAGTTAGCTTTGGCTTTGGCATATGGCCCTGTCTTCAATCTTCGTAAAAACTTACTTCAAATGTTTTCTCCTTGTCTTCCTCCTCTTCTTCGTCCTCCCCACTCTGACAACTCTGGATTCCATGGAGCAGGCAAAGGAGGAGACAAAGAAAGGTGAGTCTAACAAATGAGACTGTTCTCCCGAGCAAGGGCAGGGGATGGGATGTAATTCACAGGCCCCTAAGGACTTCAGCACTTGGTAAAACCAAGAACATTTTGACCACTGCAGGGCAACAGTCTACTCAAAATGTCTTCTTTGCAGTTACCAAGGGGTTCAGAAATGAGAAATGGGAACACTGAGTTCACGCAGTCAATAGGGACCTATCTGGTTTAACCACAGACCTGAACTCTTCTACCTAGTAAAGTTCTGGTGTACATGAAGCCGGGAGTGCAGGGAGCTGTCCCTTTCTACACAAGAGCCAGGGGCTCGGCAAGAAGACTGGAGATACCCAGGATGTGAATCCTACGGTGCCCCTTCCCATTGTGACCCTGTGGTGCAGCAAGTAAAGGAACAGGTGCTCCCGTCCCCCCACATATCTCTCTTTCTGCTGGACGTGAAGGTTCCCCATTTGAGAAGGAGGAGTTCCCTTACCACTCAGCATTCCAGAGGCCACTGTCCCTCTACGTGACATAGGAATAAGGTCACTCACCTCTGCCAGAGCACTAGGATCTCGTTCCAGTTTCTAAAGCCTATTTCCAAAGGTACTGAACTTCCTTCACCTACAGGTATGTTTGAATTTTTGGGTGTGTTCTCAACGTTGACTGGAAATGTAAGGATAGTCTGTAAGCCTGAACTCCACGTAGCTGGCCTGGAGCCGCCAGGTGAACAAGCCAGTGGCACCCACCGTCTCAGCAAAGCTTCAGGGTTTCCTTACGAGGACGGTGGGATGGTTTGCCAATGTCACCCCTGTGGTACATGAACTGTGCAGTGCCTGCAGCCCAGGTCATGACCGAGTCCTACACCCCGCTGTTCAAAATGACAGTTTCCGTGTGTCTGCAGAGGTAAAAGGGAAGACAGCCTGAGACAATGGGCAGAAACGCAGGTGTACCTTAGCCATCATGCTGGAATAGGACGTGTACAAGGAGTCATCTTCCAATTTGCTGGAAAGAATGGAGGAAATATTTAGCAGGCTACTTTTTGGACCCAGCAGAAAAGACTAAGAGCCACAGAGATCTTAAGTTATAAGTACTAGTGAATTAATTTGAAAACTCCTTCCCCCACCCGGATTCCTAGAAACCACTGCGAAAATCTGAATTAGCATTGGCTGATGGAATTCAAGGAGGAAGGCTACTGTTGCAGGCTAATCTTCAGCCTCCACGTCTGACATTACGATGAGAGGGCTGTGGCATATATAGTTTGCCTAGATGTTTCTTGGCCAACGTGAGGAGGGCTGCTTATGTCTGGCATCCCCTTTCTGGGCACTGCCATCTGTGAGACAAAGCTGTGGGGCTGGCAGAACCGTGCCTGGGAGAAACAGGGAGCTCTTGCGGGGCTGACCTCCTCTCCATGAGAGCATTGCGGCTAAAATGGAGAATGATCTGATGAAGTGGGTCTGGTTGCTTTTCTGTCTCCTCTTCCTCCTCCTCTTCCACCTTGGGGGATTTCTACACAAACCAATGCAGACAGGTTTTAGGCAAGGATTTCAGCACACGCCACACAAATGCACATGAACAAAGAGAAGGTAAAGCGCAAAGCACAGAGTGCATCCGATAAAAGCACAAAGAGAACCACTATGTCATACGTTTATTTCAGGACAAGAAGCCCCAAGGATGCAAGGTTTGGGACATAAATATGTATTTTTTTTTAGCCAATCAAAGAAACATCGCAATTTTAGGTTCAAACGAGATGAAAGGAAAAGCAAAAGCCTGACCACAGGGGAGGAGCTGCAGACCCCCCCCCCGCCACCTCCCCATCAGCAAAACTCTCATGCAAGCCCTGGGCACCCGAGTTCAGGAGGGAAGTTCTGGAGAGTCCCCTGAGAGGCTGGATCTCTCAGCCAACACCTGAAATTTCTCTTGGAGAGCTGGGCTGGAAATATGGGTGGGACAAGGGTTATAAAGCACTGGGGCCATTTGGGGTCTGATACTATCCTAGACTCAACCCAGCTAACCATTTCTTTCCTAACTCCACTGCTGATTCTAAAAATCTTTTTGTTCCTGAGAGATGCCATGCTGGAGCTGCAAGCCTTGCAGTTTCTCCTCTTACTAAGTCTTTTCTCAATCTCCTTTTACAGAGAAGGAAACAGCGTCTGATGCAGGAGGTATAAGTGAGTTTCAGGTAGTGGCAGAGCCTGCAGGTGTACGATATTCAGTACATTGGTGAGAACTACACAGGCTGTGTGAACAATTCAGAAGTGGAGGGCCAAAGTGATGCTCGTTGTCAACTTCACACTAACCACGGAACTGGGAACACCAAGGAACTGTCATTTTCACTGATGGGACTATAGGAAGAGGACAAAGGGCATGAAGACAAATGGGAGGAAGAAGGGAGAGAAAGGATTAAAAGCAAAAAAGAGGGAAAAAAATAAAAGTAAAAAAGAAAGGAGAAGGAAAAGAAAGAGAGAGAGATAAGGAAAGAGAAAGAAACAGGAGAGAGACCGAGTATGAGACATACAGAGCAAGATTAACAGAAAGAGTAAGGGATAAGAGAAAAAATAAATGGGAAAAATAAGGAGAAGGACTTAAAAAAAAAAAAAAGAAGAACCATGGGCTGGCCAAAGGAGAGGAGGGTTTATTTTCTGTCTGTACCATGATGAGGCTCTGTGGTGCTTCTGCAATAAGCGTTTTCCCCTTGCATGTTGTTTTAAGTTGTTTTAGAGCATGAAGTCTGTTAGAGACAGGGCATAACAAATTTTCTGAAGGGCCAGATACAGAAACGTGAGATGCAGGAAGGGGATTCAGATGTGCCTTCCCTAAAGCAGAGCTGCTGACCAGAAATGCAGAGCCTTGGGTGGGGGAGGTGGCCGCCTGCAACCGATGGTGCTCAAAACTTAACTTAGCATGAACTTTCCATCGCATGGCTGTGCATCCGAAGAAATATTAGTTGTTAATAATGATGATGAGGATGATAACAGTACTAGCACCTCCAAGTGAAATTCATCCTCTGGCTCTTACGGCCATTAGCAGGGCCTCCTCTGATAATTTATACAGTTAGTTCTTTCCAAATTGATACGCCTGATTCTTTGTGAATGTTGAACTGTTAGAACACGAACACACACACACACACACAAATACAAAAGTGAGATTCATTCACACCCATATCTGCTTCCAGCTGAGTCAGTACTTACAGCCAAATCCTGTACTAGTTTCTCTTCAAAGGAATACTCCTCTGTTTCTATCCAAAATCTCTGATAGCCATGGAGGAAGAGGTTAATGGAGCGGTGCCTGAGCGGAAGGGTTGAGAGTGAGGTCAAGAGGGATCTGTGGGACACCTTGTTTTAGTCTGGGTGGTTAACGGTTAGTAAGCAGGACAGACTTTTGTACAATTCTTGTCCTCTGATTGGTCAGGGTAGCCAGCGGTACACCAGAAGCATTTGTTTCGAACAAACCAGAACCCTCTAACATGCCAGTTTGCGGATGTCTAGAACACCTTCTGAATGAACTAACGACGGCTACTGGGAGACCAGGTGGTAACTGTAATCCTACCCTGGTCACAAGGGGTCTTTATCACATTTCTCCTCCAACGAGAAAGAATTCATTGGGCCAAGAAACAGTCCTGAAGGATTTGCTTAATATGGCAATGTGGTTATCGCTTTTGGCCGATAATCTGCCCAGGTGATCCCATCTAAGTCATGCTGGCGGTGAGTGGTTTAGTCTCAGATCTACTGAAAGCAGCAATGCGTGAGTCCTTTAGAGGGTCTCCAAGGAACACCACCAAGGCGCTCCAGCTTTTACTTAGGAAGGCAAGACTCAGGCGTGCTGCGCTGACAGCATAACTTCTGTGTGCCTCATGGATTTCGGCAGTGGCCCTGGTACCTGGGAACACCGACTAACTCTCAAGAGCCACTCACTCTCTATAAGCCAGGACTCACCAATGCTATTCGCACCGAATAGCAGTTAGCTGATTACCAAATGTGAGGACAGTGGTGAGGAGGGAAGGAGAGAAAAGTAAGATGCAGGTCAGCACCTGAGTCATCCAGACCTGGCCTGGTTTCCGGTAGAACATAACCCTTGCCATCTTTCTTCAAATTCTGACCAATCAGAGTTCTTCCAAAAAATTGTACAAATTTGGGTTTTTATGGGAATGTTAAATCACGGTCAAAGAGGAGTGTGCAGAAAATGAGCAGATCTCTCCACAGGTTACATTACCATTAAAATGGGTATAAGCCTGTCATACTGAGTTTTTTCATTAACCTTTTCCAGCCAAACCCGTTGAAAGGTGGTCAGGAAGAAATTGTTAATTTTGTGTCTGGAGAAAAGCACACAGGTTGTCTTTTAAAAACTAACATCAGAGAAACAGTTTGCACATAATAAAATAAATCCCTTTAGCCCTTTAATATGGAGGACTCCATGCAGTTTAGATCATGATGAGGTGGAGAAGGGAGTGATCTTCACCCTCAGCTTCTTAGTTTTTATTATAAAATCTACCTATGCTCCTCCATGCTAGGGAGAAATCCAGGCATGGGTTAGGGGTGAGACTGGCCACATTTCATCAAAGACATAGTGAGTCCCTCGATTTACTGTTGCCCATCCAGGGACAGAATTGCTGAAGGAGCAACCAATATATGAGAGGATGGTACTAACATTTTCAGTAGATTTAGAAAATAATGCTTGTTTCGAGAGATGTAATTTTTGCCTTGCTGGCCCTGGAGACATGCTTAGGGCTAAGCCCTTCTGGAAGTCCAATTAGCACATTAGGCCTGAATCTCTGCCAGAGAGGAAAGTGAATGCCTTTTGATGTTTCACCACTTCTAGGAAACAGACAAAAATCCCGTGCATTTTTGCTTTGTCTACTAGGCTATGAATTTCACTTTGTGGCTGGGACATCAGTGGCCTTCATAGCCATGACTATTTGAATTTTTCCGCTTTTTATTCATGAGTTCTACTTGATTTTGTGGCACCTCATCCTCTTCCAAAGACACTAGTCTGTTCTCTCAAGAGACCTACAGGAGCAGGTGAGTGTCATGATTCTTCACTATCTGCAGAGACCCTAATGGGAAAGCTCAGTTGGCCAACTGGCTCAGGACAGGGTGAAAGGGCACTGTGGACAAATGATGGCCAGGAAGCACAACCTGATGAAAGCAACTGTCAAGCATAGGAAGAGAATTTTATCTCGTATTCCAAGGAAACATTTATTTACATGGGATTCAGAAAATACTTTTCTGAGTTAGTTTATTTTTCCTGACCAGGTGAGGATGGTTCATATTGATCTGCAAATTGATGAAGCAGAGGCTTTTATTCAATTTGCAGCTTTGTTTACTGATCACAGGCTTGACCTTGTGGACTCTGCAATCATTCTGAGGATGGGAGTGTTGCTACATCACCAATGACAATGAGTCAAGTCTCAGTGGTCAATGTTTGCCCAATCTGCATGGATACTCTGCTCTATGTTGATACACCACATTCCAGGAGAGCCTTTGCATATTTCTGACTGCAGAGTATAGATTAACCACACAGATAAGGCAACGTGCCCATGACTGGCCTCTTGGGACATCTTTAGTCAGTGCCCTTCCTTCATCTTGAAGGTAAATATACTGTCCTCAAGGATTCTCGAGTTACATTTCTGTACCTGCTGAGGAAACACAGTAATTGGGGGGCCATCCAAGTACCTCAGCATAGAAATACTATTTGATCTGTTGATTGAATTTGGGGTAAAGCATTTTAGAAAGAGTTCTTTTTCCAGGGTTCCTTTACATCCTCACAAAGAACCCCATCTTAGGAAAACTAAGCTTCCATATGCTCACTGGGCTGACTTTAAGGTATGAAATGGTGAGCTAAGGCAGGCATGGGGCCCTAGGGAAACACACCTGTTTTCAGCTTTTCTGCTTACCTGGATTCCCTTAGTAGGCCATTATACTATATGCAGATTGTAATGGTGCCATGGATGGAGGACTCCAATTTCTACCCCTTGGATCATGAGTGTCCGTGCCAGAAGACAGCACAATTGTGGAAGGATACCTTAATTCCCATCACTGGCTCCCATGTCAGAAGAATGGCTCCCACGCCAGAAGAAAAGGACAGAATACTTGCCTGGGCAGGTTGTAGAGAGGGGCCATCCTGAAACAGGCTACCACTGCCCGTTTCCGCTGCTTTGACAACAGTTTGTGCCAGACCGCCTTCTTGGACCTCAAAGGCTGTTCCACCTGAGAAGAAATCACACGGGTAGGTGCGCACTAGGCTAACTGCATGGCAGGAGGTAGTCGCCTACAGCCCAGACTTCTCAATCCTGAAGAATCTTGATTTCTCAACTATAGTCAGCAGAAGGTACCCAGCAGCAAATGATTGGGTTTGTGGAGGTCTGACTGAGGTTGTCTTCCTTCTCCCAACTGCTTTTGGACGTTTATTACCTAAGAGCAGTTTTACAACTGGGTAGGGGATTTGAATGGGTCATTTGGGATCTAATGGAAAAAATTTGTAAAAAAGCTCGGAAGGGAAAGAATTGAGGAGTCTACTACCATGAGGCACCAAGATGACATCTGGGGGTGAGCTGGGATGATTCTTGTTCCTTGTTTTGGGTCTTATGAGAACACTCCTAAGAGCAGAGTGTGGAGAGGAGCTTTACATTTTCCAGGGTGGTCTTGCTTCCTTAGTCCTCAGGGCAGATGCTCCTTACCTGCTCCAGGTGGAAGACAGCTGCTGAAATTCTCTGAACACGCTCTACAGTCTTTTCTGGATTGAAAGGTTCTTCACTCTTTAAAACATCTTTGTAGAGGTTCAGCTGCCACTTTACTGCTGGGTCATCAGACTGAAAATTAAAGCACACACCAGGTGAGCAATCTTGTACTGAAAAAGTCTTTACTCCTCACATGGTTCCAGAGGAATCAAGACTCTTGTATTATTGCTTCTTTCTCATTTTCTCTATTATCTTCATTGAAACATTGCAGATCTATATAGGAACTGCTCATCTAGCTTGCATCTCTTAACTCTTGTCATATTTCCATCCCTTTCTCTCTGTACTGCATTCTGATTTCCTGAAAGCAATCTTCCAATTCCTAAATTCTCTTTTCAGCTGTGCCTAGCCTGTTTTTTTCAACCTATAAATTGGATTTTTAATGTTACTGAATACTTTTAATTTTTGTAATTGCTATATGGCTTTTTTTCAATCCATATCCACTCTCCTTTAAAAAAAAAAAAATGTCCAGGGGCTGGCTCAGTTGCTGAAGCATGCACCTCTTGATCTTGGCATTGTGAGTTTGAGCCCCATGTTGAATATACAGATTACCTAAAAAAATAAAAAATAATAATGTCCAAGCCTTGCTTTATAGATATTACTGCTATGTTTAGCTCTTTAAGTATTTCAACCACACTTATTTTTAAATTGCTTTCTGCAGTTCCTTAGGCTTGAATTCTTCCCTTTGTTGCATTTTCTGACTCTCTAATGGTAGTGGATTTTCTTTCATGCCTTTTTTTTCCCCCTTTGACTTCAGGAGGAGTTTTATTTATTGGCATCTCAGACCATGTTCTAAGAGGTGGAGAGTCTCCAAGTAGTTTTATGGTTGTCTCTGCAGGAGATTTATAGGTTTTACTGGTTTAAGGTTAATTTTATGTAAGTTTCTTGCTCCCCATCTGTGCACAGCATGGGTAATTAGGTCCCACACTCTTCTTCCTTTAAGGTTATTAAAAACCCCAGCCTCTAGGTTACAAATCTGGTTCAGAAAGTTCTATGAGTTTTCCCAATCGCATCAACGTGTCCTCATTCCTGTGATTTAGAGTATCTTCTTTATTCTGGCACTTGGGATTTCTTTTTACTGCCTTTTTTTTTTTTGGTAGTATATTTTCCCCACTATCCCCTATGTTCAGGATGGAAAGAAGTGGCTGTTTGTGTCAGCTTAATCCTCCATCTTAGGGCATAGTATATCTGAGGAAAGATTCAGATTCACAGGCCTGGGGAAAAAATCTCAAACAGACTTTAAAATCAAAGTTTGTTTGTTTGTTTGTTTTGGTTTATACCAACTCTAATAGAGTTATTTTGTTTCCAAATCTCTAGATCAGGATGTGCTAAAACTCTCCCAGGTGTCCATTTCACTGTTTAACAAGGCTCACAGTAAATTTGAGACCTAATCTAACCCCCTGCTATGGCTGGATGTTCACACACTGGTAGGTGGGAAGACATGCTTCATTAAATGCCTCTTTGCATCTTCTTTGTAACAGCAAAGGAAAGAACAAAAATTAAGGGCAAAAACTCTTCCCCACAGCCCCAAACAAAAGTGAAAATTAAAGGCAGAGAGCTAGCCCTACCAATTAAACACCAGTACTCAGAGGCTGTTTTTAGAACACATTAAAGAGAGCATTAGCAAACTAAATGGAAGGATGGCACCCTACAGCCAAAGGGAAGCCTGCGTGAGTTCTGTCTTCCTGCTACATCACCTTCTCCTGCAGGTGCAGGTTATTCCGCAGATGTTCCTTCACCTCTTCATCTGTGTCCCTCTGTGGAAAGAGATATTAAATTTTATTTCTCGAGGTCACTGTGGAAATGTAAAGTAGGGCGCAGGGAGGGATGGACAAGCAAATGGGCAGTTTTGCTGGGATCTTTATTATAAGAACAAAAGAAGAAAAATGACAGACTTGTCCAAAGGGCTCTCAAACCAGCTTTAAAGATGGGGCTGTGTTGCGGGTGTGCACCTTGGTTTCTGTTCACTGGCCCCCCCCGCCCCGCCCCCCGAGCCCCAGGGGAGGAAGACGAACCCTTAAGACGCTGAGCAGCCACCACCACCTGTATTACGTTCTGTGTTACGTTCTCAGCCAGAGCAGACGCGTGACTTACATAGCTGTATCGAGATTTGGCCAGGGAGATTAGCTCCTGATCGCCTGGCGTGCACATATTCAAACCAATGGGCAGCATTTTCTTGAGGGCAGCCACGATGAGAGAGGTCTGGATGGAATACAGGTCTCCCCTCCGCTTTGTCTTCTTCCGTTCCTGGTCCTGTCCTCCAGACTAGGAGATGAGGTTGAAATAAACAGAGGGGCTCAATGATTCTGAAAGGAACGGCCTCCCCTTGGAGGCAGCTTGCCTCCTCGTGGCCCTGTCCGTACAGGTGGTCCTTCCTACACTTCAGGGCACAGTGAAAGGAGCGTGTTGAAGGCATCCGGGTGGCCATCAAAGACCCGCCCGGCTCCCGAGCCCTCTCCTTGTGCGCATGCTCACAGAACCACGTAAGCGGACACATACCACGGACGCCTACAGGCTTGGCTCCCTTGTGCGTGGGCCAAGTGAACAAACCAGCTGGCGTTTTTCAAAAGGAATGATTCGATACCAGATAAAATGGTCTTAGCAAAGCATGGAGAAGCCTGATGCTGGGGTGTCCGTAAATACGTGGAAGAGCGTCTCCCGTAGAACTGCTCTGCGGTCAGGGCTGAAGCTCGTGTTTTGGAGCACCGCGTCCCACTCAGACCTCCGCCTCGAGGCAGTGCAGATTCTCACGGGAAAAGGGAAGTCCCAGAGTAGGGCTGCTTTGGGATCTGGCTGGGGAACGCTCGGAGGAACACCGAGGAAAACAGAACTCCCCAAGTCTGCGAGAGGCCGCCCTTCTTCTGTTTATACCGCCTCACCCCTCATGGGGAGAGACTACCCAGCAAGGGCCACCCCGTGGAGCAGTAGGTTTCTGAGGAGTTCAAGGCACTGCGCTGAGCCACCCAACCGAGAGCCCTCAGTGGCCGCCACACACGGCCGTGTGGGTAGGCTCCAGGAGACAGCCCTGCTGTGACCGGATTCTTGTGAGGTCAGCCTCTGAAAGAGCACGCTGCCCACCTGGTACCTCACTTGCAGGGCTGTGCCTCCGGGGAGGGGGGGGGTGTGCTGGAGAGCCGGAAGCAGAGGATGAAGTCGGGGACTGTGAGGGAAGGAGAAATGGCGCTCACTGAAGCTTTGCTCCATGAGGTGGCCCTGGAATGTCTGCAGGAGGAGGGGGCAGTGCTGCGGTCGATGCTGACATACAGACCTAGGGCTCTGGGAGCAGGGGGGAGGCCAGACGCCTCTCCTGGAACGAGCACGTAAGACCTGGGACCCTGAGCTGGAGCAGCATTCATCTTAAGGAGGCACTGGTTTTCTGAGAGAAGAGGAGGGTAAGAATCCACACTGCCTTGGGACTGATCTCTTTAAGTTACCTTTAAAGTGTGAAAGAGGTTCGTAATTATTAATGGACACTCTTAAAATGGCTGTGATTTCTGTACCTTCAGGAGGTTACATCACAGCAACCACAGTGAAGCTCCTTGCCAGCAAAACCCAGGCTGGCCAGTCACCGCCAGACAGTTGTGCTGGTTGCAGGGCACCTTGTGCCCGGGGCTCCGAAACAGCAGGTCAGGCCCAGTACAGCAGGCGGAGGGGCCGGGGAGAAATATGAGCAGGGGGTAAGAAATGAAGCTAACAGAAGGCAGCTTCTTGTGTTCTAGAATGCAGCGGAAAGTGAAAGCTGGTTCACACAAACACCTCGAAGAGCTCTCTCATTCACTGAGCGCTTGCTAGGTTCTTTACGTGTTCTACCATCAGGCATAGAATTCTAAAGGTTGTGCCTAAGGCAAAACTCAGTTACAGTCTCCATTACCCCTGAAAATCATCCATAAAGGACAGAACTCGATTTTGTGTACATAAACTATGAGGTGTTCTGTACATAGAAATGTAAAAGGTGAATAGTAACATGCCGCCGAATATAATCAAGTCAATATGCAAAATGTAACTATGTAGATTTGATGCACTTCAAATAATTTCTTGCTCATTCTATTTTATTGGGCCAATCTCAAGTTGCTCTTATTACAAATGCTGCACATATAATGTGACTCCAATGTGCCTCCTACTTAAATAAAACATTTCTAATCCTCCCAATAACCCTGATACACAAACAACACAGTTATAGAAGTGAGAACATGATGCTCAGGGAAGGTAAGTGATTTTTCCAAGTTCACACAGCAGGTAAACATCTGAGTCAACATCCAGACCCAAGCCTACCTGGACATGGTTTCATTTCCCTTTTCTAACTCCGAGCTGCAAGTGACCTGGTTCCTGACCATCTCCCTTTCTCTGGCACATGTCTTAGGGCAGGGAGTTTGTGATAATGGCAGCAGATGCACATTAATGAATAGAGAGAAATATTTCCATGTTATATTCTATATGGGTTACTGGAAATAAACCCAGGGTGTATTTCACCATACGCACATTTTGTGCAAAAACACATGGTTATCTGATTTCAAATCCTGAAGGTTAGTCCTTGGAAAACTCTTTGAACTGTGGGAGCCTTGCACAAGAGGCAGAGATGTACGGTGTGAAAGGACTGGGGCCACTGACGGCACATAGGATTCTGAGCCTGCATGGCACAGCAGAGGAGTGAGCCTTTTGGGCTCTCATGCCCTGTCGGCGCCCCTATCTCTGTCAGTGTGCTGGCTGCAGAGTGGGTGGCTGGGGAAGGGAGCAGAGATAGCAAGGAGACCTCGGTTAGGGCGAGGCTTGGCTGGCTTCCCCGGCTTCCCCATTCCAAGGGTGGGTAGGCCTACATTCACTCTTTGATGGGCAGGTGTCTTCCCTGGAGCAGGCCTGGGGGACCTCCAGGTGGGAAGATCCATTCTGTACCACCCCCATGGTGATCACAGTGCAGCGGGTGGCCAGAGCCTGGCATCTCTAACACTAGGACAGAAAAGACACATCATGCATTTGACCTGTACCTTTACTTGCATGGCCTGTGTGGGAAGACAAAAGAAAAGAAACAAGGAGAAGAGTCAGTCAGTAAAAGCAGGGGTCCAAGGCATAAGGTAGCACATGTTAGTCATAGCTTCTTAGCCCCCATTTCTCAGCCAACACAACAGAAACTCAACAGTTCTGGAAGCCAGTTGAGCGTGGCATGAAGAGTGAGTGGGAGGTTATGATGGAAGTTAATTTGGTCAAAAGGACTTACACCCAAACCAAGCAATCCACCCCCAAGGCAAGGTCGTCTTGAAGACTAGCCTCCCCAGCGTGTGCTGCTCAGGCCCAGGTGGGCTTTGGGTCTGGCCACGCACACAAACCCTTCAGATCTAGAGCCTTTCCCCTCCAACCTCCCACCTTTCACCTGGGTGGGCTGTAGATAATCTGTCATGTAACCAAAGACCCCAATTTTCTTTCTTCCTTCCGCCCACCACATTATCACCTCCAGCAGATCTGTGGTTGCGAGAAGAGAAGGAAGAACTGAGCTAAGGGGCAATGTGTGTGCTTCCACAAAAAAGAGGTTTGCTAAAAAGAAGTGCTCTAGAAATATCCAGGGTAATTCAGGATTGCCCCACAGCCCAAAGGATGGAGCATCTCCCTTCCTGTGCTGTGACCTTCAAATATATCTTTGGTCACAGCCTCTTTCACGATAGAGGTTCTATATATTTTTTTCTTCACATATTGCTAAGATTGGTTAACTCAGTGTATTTCCCTAATGCTAGTTATGCTGGAAGTGCTTTTCTTCTCCCCTGAAATTTTTTATTTTCCAGAGAGAAATTTATGAATTCCTAGACCTCCCCTACACATATCACCAGTAGTTTATGATCAAACAGATGATTTTATGTGTGAATGTAAGGACAAAACATAGACCCTTAAGGGAAAGGAAATTTGAGAAGGACACATGGTGGGTGGTGTGTTGCACTGAGACAGCACAGGGAGAGGCTTCTAAAAACAGGCAAGCCTGCACCACATGGAGTACTTACCCCTACTAACAGGGTAAGTGAAGTAAAGACAAGTCAACCCAACATTAGATATTAGGGGGAAAGATGAATTTCCAGAAGTCAATCTGAGAATGAGAAAGCAACAGAGAGAGAGAGAAAACAAAGAAGGGAAGGATGGGGGAAGCAAGAGTAGAGAAGAGTAAGAGGGAGAGAAGAGGTGGCCAAGAGGGAGATAAGAGACACGGAGAGAGACAGAGAGGGGGAAAGGTAGAGAGGAGGGGAGGGGAGAGCATGGGAGCTGCCCCATTGCTACAGGAATACAAAGTGAAACAGGTGGGCGGTGGAGGGGACGAGAGAGAGGAGAGCAAGCAATAGAGATAGGTGTAAGAAGCAAACTCCCACATGTAAGTCTGAATACCCTGGAAAATCTCAAAGATAGCCTCTAAACTCTTCCCTGTCCTTTTTCAATACACTGAAATCACACTCATGGGATGGAGAGGCTTTCAACAACGAGGCACTCTAATACTTCCTGCCTTACAACTCTGTTTTTACTCATCATCTTGGTCAAGAGACTGGCATTTCTTGGGCTAAACACGTTCTAACTTACCATTCCCCTCTGAGGAAGCTGCTGCCATTTTTCCAGAAAACAAAACAAGTTTAAAAACAAAACAAAACAAAAACACTTGCTCAGCTTAGTTACATTTAGCTTAACATATATTTGCAAACTGATGTTATATAAAGAAAATATACAATGAGCTCTCAAAACAAAAACAAAAAAAACCACACCTGTCTTCATTGCCAGAAAAATTACGCATCTTTGCACCGATCTTCAGTTAATCAAGTATAAATAGTGTGGCCCATTGTATATTTTGTTTCTGCCTCCTTTCCATCTGCAATGGCGTGTGCAGTGTGTGTAGGCATGCAGCATTCCGGTACACAGGCCTTTGCAACAACTGCCATATGCATTGAGGCCAACTTCATTTATACAACACCAGAATTCAGCTCAGAGTGGAGATAAAGGCAAGCACAGCTGACCATTCAGATTAGGGAGTAGAGAGAGCATCTAATTTCAGGGAGGAAAAGGTGATGGGGATTAAACTGAGAGTAAGACTACCTCCTCCCCATTCTCTCATATGTAGTTCTACCTCCAAAGAATACCAGAAATGGCTATGAGTTGCTGTTTCCTGGAGGCAGGGTAAAGGGGCCTCCATCTGAAAGAATGTGCTGCATTTATCTCTAGTCTAGAGATGCAGTTTAAAACTGACTTTTAAACAGCATCCTGGTAGAACTGGGAGGAGTCAGGTAGTAAGCTCAAGCCCATTCTACAGATTGGTAAATTGGGGCCCGGAGGAGTTAAATGATGCAAGGCCATACATTTAGTCAATGGCTGGGCCCACGGGTGGGACTTAGCTTCCTTTCAGTCTCTAGTCCTACTTACTACTACACTTTGTGTCTCAACTGAGGCAACAGGATCAATAGGAATATCTGTTACCCTGAGAAGCATGGTAAATGTTATTTAATATCTGGGGCCCATCCTCACATTCACTATACTGTAACGTTGACCCTTTTTCATGTAGCTCAGGAAAAACTGACATACAAGGTCAATGGGAATGAAATGAAAGTGTTTGCCCCTATAGACGAACCTTAGCAATAGGAAAGATGCACAGATTCTGAATATGACCTTCCTCTGACAAGACAAACATACCCTTTTCCTTATTCAGCAATGTGAATGAACAGAATTTCCAGTTAGTTTGTTAGTAGGTTAGTTTTGAAATGTCATCCCCTGTCACCTCATCTCTTTCCAAGTGTAAACCTAAGGGTCCTAAGTAACCACTGATCACCGGTGCACTGAGATGTCTTTGCCATTTCTGCTCATCTGGGATCCAAATCCTTACACCAGTGTCATTTCCATTGCTTTGCTGCCATCCGCTGACAGTAACAATGGATGCTAGCTGGTTCAGTCCAGAGCCAGCGGCTCTACCCCAAGGTGAAGGTAGCATAAAATCTATCTGGGATTTACTGACTTTCTGTAGGTGGATGGAGCAAAAGGAGAGCCAATGATGGCTGTAAGAAGACCCTTCAGAGGGAATTTAAGATAAATGTCCAAGGATCAGGAGTCTGAAAGATCCTATCTTTGTGTATCTCACATGAGCAGCAGATGTGTTTGCCAGAAGTTGAATGCAAAATGAATTTTGGAAAATCAAATAAAAATTATCTAAAGCAAAAAGGGTCCACCTTAAGGGAAGTTCCTTTGCAGCAAAGACTCCTTTGAATATGAATATATACTTCTGATCTCTCTACTTTGTATATGTACAATTTTACATGTCAAACTTTATTAAGCAGTGAATAGCGGATTCTAAACTCTAAGAGTCAATTTTTGGATGCTGGAAGAAGTGTTAGTGTCAACACAGCTAAAAGACAGAAGGGGTGGAAAGTTCAGAGTGATGGCAGCTGACTAGAGCTAGGCACACGTGGTGAAGTTTTGGGTGCTGAAGTTTTCATTTTTAGTTGTTATACCAGCCCCTTGTCTGCAGCTTCACATACACAAGTCTTCATCCCAAATGGTTATTTGGAAAGATGCTCCAAAGGCTTTGCTACAAACCATTGACTGCCATCTTTCCAGTACTGATTTTCACTTCTGAGGGGTCCCCATGCACACTCCACCTTCATGTTCCTCAAAGGCAGCACTATACCAGCAATGAGAGAGATGCACATCTCAGGTATTACATGTCACTTATACTTGACATATACAGTCAACCCTCACTGAGGCACACTTCTCAAGGGAACAGGGTCAAGAGTAAGCCATAACAACTGGTAACAAAACATCACATTTAACTAAGTCGTGTATGTATGTATGTGCACCTGAAGAGTGGGTCTGAGAATTCTTTACAATCCAAATAGCAAAGCCTCCCTGTGCAGAGCTGACTCAAGAGGAGCTGGGAGGCCAGGTCCCCTTGCTGTATTCCTGCTACGTTCCTCCCTGTAAGTTGCTCTTTTTCTCAGACAGATATCCCGTATGTCCTCTTTTAAATATTTCCTGCAGGGAATGGACAAACTTTGGGTTTCTGAATGCAACCCACATGGAAAATAAACAGAAGGCATTAAGAGGTCTGCACAACTGAAATAAAACAGCTACTGGATGTTCCAGAAAGGAGGGAAACAAGCTTACTGGAAGAACATGTGCTAATGAAGTCTTCAAAGCAAGGTAATTTCCTCATAGCTAATCAAAAGGTGGCTCTAGGCGTGTGTAGTTTTGCAGCTCATTACACCGGAAGTAGTTCTATTTAAAAACAACTAACAGCAGCTTTGGTTTGGGAGACCTCTTGAATGCCTTAGGCAAGTCTTGAAACTTAAACTTTTTGACATACAAGCAGCTATTTATTCAGAAAATGTGATGACCATGCTTATTTGAGAGCAGTTTCTTCTGGCTCATTCTCAAAGAAACAACAGTAGAGACTGCTGGTTTTTGTGGTTTGACCTAAATTCAGTATGGAGCTAATCCCTTCATACATCCAAGATACATAACTTAGGTCAAGATTGAAGAGTCTTTGGAGTTGATTTCAATGGACTTACTTTCGACATCTTGCTTTTGCTGTCTCCAGTTAAAAATGCCAAATTATTAATTTCATTCTGAATCACAAAATTTTGCTCTTCCCTCTTGAAGTTCTAAGTGGGGGGAAATAAAAAAGCCAACATTGTAAGAATGTTTTTGGAGGTCTGTACCTTTCACAGCCATCTCTAAACCCAGGGCCCACATGTTCCTTACGTGAGATTTACACCACAGGATGAAGACCTCTGCCACCATGCGGAAGAGCTGGTCAGAGTCAGCATTGGGACTTTTAAGCCAGTTAGATCTGAGGTGAGAAGCAAATGAATATGCATATGAAATTCAGTAATGATGAAAACAGTTACATTAAAAATTATACCCACATCGGCTGTGCACACTTATCCAGATAAAACTATATTCCCACATGAAGGCAGTCTTCAGAGAGACTAAATATCAGTGCACTCCTTACATGTGTGTAGGCATGTAATTGTAGATATTTTTGAAGGACTTACAATAATCATCTCCATTTTACCAAAGGATTCAAGGATTATCTTTGCAAACAGATGTCGGAAAACAACATTTCAAATTTGTCAAAGGTTTTTTTTTTTTTTTCTTTTTTAAACAGATGAAGTGATCAAGGTTACACTCTGTTTTGGAACAGGCCTCCTTTAATCTATGAGGCTACCAAGACTAGAAAAGTCTCGGTCAGTATGACATCTAATCTTTCATTGACACTTGTCATTGTCAAGCCTCTGAAATATGGAGTGCTCTAAAAACAGTTCAGGCCTAACACCTTTTCCTCTCAAAGCCAGTTTAATGAACGAAATTTGGAAGACAATGTATTTTTCACTGTTTTAAAGTGTATGGGCAGAGATCAAACATTTCTTATGCCCTCTGAAATGGTTTAGAAGTTCCCTGTAAATAACATTACTCATTTCTTTCTTTCTTTTTTAATTAAAAACCAGACCAAGTTAAGAATTTCACAGTGGCAGCAAGAAGGCTAAATTGCGGTAGAATTCATTCATTTCCTAAAAGTTGTCTTGCCCCTAAGTATCTTACATATTTGAATCAAATTATGTTTTGAAAGGGCTGGGTGAATTGCCATTTTCAAATATCTGTGTAGAATAACATAGTAGAAGTTAAATCATCTACCATCATTCTTAGGTTAAAGAAAACTTTGGTTCTCATGAATGGTCTGAAAAACCCATTGTCCCTTGGTGCATGCAGGGAAACAGCTATAAAAAGCCAGTTCCCTAAGCCTTGGGACACCAGACTGAATTGCCCTGAGCAGCCTGTACCTTCTGCCCATTGATGGAGAGCACCAGGCTAATGAGGAAAGGGGAAGACTCATGAGGCCAAGACCATCTTTGGACCTCTCTTGCATCTCCATTCCTTATTGCCCTGAGTTCCAGCCTCACAGACATCCTTATCTAACCTTTCTTGAGTTCTACCTCAACTAGCCTCCCTTTGCATGGCAGACACTAGGTTGTCTACCCCATACTCATTTTCTTCTTCTTCCTTAGGAACAAAAGCCCATTTTATTCAGGGTGGCACTGTGCCTGCTGAAGACCACATTACCCAGCCTCGGGATAGCTATGTAACTAAGTTCTGATCAATGAGATGGAAGGGGAAGTTGTTGGATGGACCTTCTGGAAAAGCTCTCTAAAAAGGGATCAGATAGCTGAAGATGCCCTTTGCCTTCCCCCTGTTGCTTTCATGCTTCCTGATTGGAATGAAAATACGAGGGCTCCAATGACAATTGGCACACTGCACCATAAAGTCACTTCAAAGATGGCAGCCAGTGTTTAGGAGGGAAAAACAGAGGAATGAGGCTCTCTAATGAGGAGCAATCGTACTGGCCCTGGATTGGGTATCTTTGGACTTCTTTGTGAGATTTAACTTCCAATTTCTCTAAGCCACTATAATCAGGTATCCATTATTAGCAGCCAAATGCAAGCCAAACTTGAGGCTTGAGATTGGTAATGCTTTTTGATTTCATTCATATTGATTTTTCAGGATCAGGTGTCAAGTTTTGTCAGAAATGTCAGCTGTTCATTCCTTAGTGTTTGGTTTAAATGAGCTTTGTAAGTTTGCACTGTGCCCTGAGTGGGAAGAGGTGAGGTTTCCTATCCTCTCCAGCCAAGGCAAAGTACAGCCACAGTGTGTGGGATCTGCAGGAGCTCTGAAAACAACAGGTGAGGTCAACATTCCCTCACAGAATACCGCAGAAGATTCTGACCCCTTTGCTATCTTCCATAGGAAGGTAGTTTCCAATGAATGAATTTCGTTTTCCATAACCTTCTTCTTCTAGGAGGCATATTTTCACCCTTGATTTCTAGTGAGGTTCTTTCTTCAGGTTCAGAGTGGTAGGTGTAAATGAAGAATATCTCATTACATGTTTCCCCAGGACACAAACTCTGCACCTCTCTGGTATTTGCAGGTGAATAGAAGACCCTGACCTCATCTCTCCTATTGGCCCATATCCTTTCCTGTCTGCCCCCATGATGCAACCAGGCTCATCTCCTGCCTGCTCCCAGTCTCCCAGAATCCAGATCTCTCTCAATATCTGACGACTCGATCCTTTTGGAGGTACTAGACTGATACCTGGGTCTCTTTTATCATCTGCACTGCGTGCTGCCAAAAGGCAGTTGGAAAATGCAAGGCTGTAGGTGGAGAAGAAAGTTGGGCTTAGAGGTAATGATCGGCAGGGGGTGATGGTTGAAGCAACGCAAGTGAATGAAATCACTGAGCATATTAACAGGAAACAAGAAACGTAAGAATAAAATCTTGGATGATCGCAAGAGTAAAGAGAGATTTCATTTTCAAAATGACAAGTTATCAGGTTTTCAAAGAAAGGAAAGCCAGGTATGAGGCTTTGAAAGAAATAAAAGCCATACTCCTATTACATTCATGGCCAGGTTGTCTGAGTTAGAGCTAAGAGCTTATCTCAACCTTGTTCCTAAGTCTCCTGCAGAAGACACCGCCCGGGGCCGTCACTGCTGAGGATTTACTCAGATTCCCTTTAGAGCCTGAGAGATGGGTTTTCACCCCAAATCCCACTGTTTAAAGTCATTCATTTCTGTGTTCTGAGTGTTCCTGATTGCCAGAAAGGAGGCTGAGAAGCTGTTGCCTCATGCAGAGAGAGCTGTCTAACTGCGCTGACAGCTCCTGCACGAGGAGATAGAGAGCGGATTTGCCCAGCTCTGACCACACTACAGACCCAGCTTTCGTGCTCATTCTGGGTCAGCTTTGGGCTGAACACTGACTGACGGAAGCTTCTGTTCAGAACAGTGGTCCAGAGGGCTAAGGAACTTGAAACAGTGCCATGACTGAAGGAAGTACAAAGGTTTACTATGACGAGGAAGAACAGGGAGGAGGACAGGACAAGATGGCTCTCTTCAATATTTAAAGAGCTGCCACAAGACAGACTGGAACAGTTTTGAGAGGTTCTGAAGAGCAAAGTCAGAGCTGATGGGCAGGAGTCACAGAGCTGAGCTCAGAACCATTTGAGCTGTCTGAAACTAGAATGGGAGGGCACTCCTGGCAAGTCCCTACCTGTTGTCCAGAAGCATGGTGGATAACCAGAGGTAGGAAATGCACTGCCAGGAAAAAGGAAGGGGGGTATTTACTCATCCAGTTATAGGTAAGATAAGGTGACCCCTATTTTTCCTGCCAACTCCAGGGTACCATACTTCCAAGCCAGCGATTCTTTTGGTGAAGAAAGTACCCAAAGAAGGTAAAGGCAGACACAGAAGAAGGAAGTCTTTCTAAGTTGGGCTCGGGTGGCCATAATGTTCTCTGGTGTTCAGGGAAGAGCGGGTTGAAAAGTGGGGATGAATGAATTAATGATGATCTCAAAGACTCTCTGACATTGCCATTTTTAGCAAATGTCAAACACTGTGTAAGTAGAACACACTCCATCTTGAGTCTTGATCGTCAATAGTGATAAATGCAATTAAAGAGCTATTCTAGGAGCAACCTTACTCTGCTTTCATTTTTGTTTTTACCTCGAACTCTGACAAATCCCCTCTCTAACCGCTAATATAATGATGTTATCGGAAATGACGCAAACCATGATCCTTAAAGCAGGGGTTCTTTTGAGAGAGTAAAGTCTCCCATAGACAGGTAAGGGATTATATT